GTTTGTGAACCTCTAAGCACCATGAAGTCTAAGATTGCTGCTTTTCTGTGGTATATGATTATGCCAAGATCTATGTCCCACCTGTCGATGTTTTTCAGCTCTGACACTATGACCCTCATTGCACTAAGTATGTTTGAGATCTCGCACTGGTGTTATGACATAGCAAACTCAGCACCTGTTATTTTCCTTTGGGATATGTTCTCACGGATATATTACTGCTCTAACCTACACTGTCTCCTTTGGGGTTTTAAGGATAATGGCACCTACCCCTATGGAGAAACACAGGGGGGTATATTTGCCCAGCCCTTCATACATTTTCCCTTTGGCTCCAATACAATGGCCTCTGAGAAATTTAAACTCTCTTTTGATGTAAGAGACATTTTCTCTTTTGTGCAAGGTGTCATAACCATTGCCACGGTGTCATATCTAATATTCGTGATTAGGCCCAGAATTGACCAAGAACAGGCACAGAAGCCAGCCCCAGGGGTGAAAAAACTCGAGTGGCATGGGCCATGGGAGGACTTGGGTAAATTTCTAAAAAGTGGTTCAGTTCCTCCAACATGGAAGTTCACTCTCGAACAACTCCTAGACCCTACGCAGATAATAACAGCTGTGAGGGAGAGAGGTCATGATAAACCCATAGAGAGACAGTTGGTAGATGCATGTGGGGCTTTAGCCGTTGCCTACCAAAAGTTGCTCGATATGGTGCAATCCTCACAGGAAAAAGGAAAAGATGAAAACGAGAGGCCTGATTCAAAGATGACTCCAGATAAGGCCAGCTCCAAGGGACCAAACAAGTCAATGGAGGTTGCCCCTATCCAAAAGAAGAAATATAAGACCAAATCAGCCCGCCCAGTTGATGATGATGGGGAAGCAGGACCCTCACAGACAGCCAACCCGGAGCCAGAAATCATCACTGAGTCCTTATCACATAACAGCCTCCGAAAATTACGAGCAGACGTCATTCGTCACTCGAATGAGCCTATACTGACATGGATGATCCGAGCCTGGGACTCTACGGGTGATGCCATAACCCTTGATAGCGGTGAAGCAAGGCACTTGAGGTCTATTGCCCAGGATGTGGGCCTTGAAGAGGCATTTGTGAGAGAATCAAGGCCCCTCTCTCTCTGGGCACGGCTGCTGGATGCTGTGAGAGGGAAATTCATTTACAGAGAGGCCTTGCAGAAAGACCATTTTGTGAAGAGTTGGAAGACCATGGAGGAGGGGATCCGACGCCTGAGGGAAATGGC